CTGGACGGGCTAGCCCAGGCGCGCCAGCATCCCGAGCCCTGCCCGGAGGAGGCGGCGGCGGCGAGCCACAGCCCTCCGGCCTTGCCAGGGGAGTGCCACCCCTGCCCCGTGTGCGGCGAGACCTTCTCTAGCAAGAGCGGCCAGGAGCGCCACCTCCGCCTGCTTCACGCCGCCCAGGCCTTTCCTTGCAAGTACTGCCCGGCCACCTTCTACAGTTCGCCGGGCCTCACCCGGCACATCAACAAGTGCCACCCGTCGGAGAACCGGCAAGTCATCTTGCTCCAGGTGCCTGTGCGCCCAGCCTGCTAGAGGGAGCCCACTTGTGCCTTCGCCTCCAGTACCATCGCTGCCGGCACCCCCACCCCCACCCCGCGCGCGCCATGTTTGTGGTGGAGGGGAAGCCCTGGACTTCGCCACCAGCCTCGCCTCCTTAACTACTGGGGTCTACTCCCCAACCAACCATCTTTTCCAGCGCCGGCAGCTGTCGCCTATAAGGCACGCAGCTTGTCGCCCTGGCCCATCTCCCAATGGTGTATAAGGCCCCCCCTCTCCTCCCCAAGACGGCGCTGGCTCTGGAGCAGTCTCCCCCCCACACAACTGCACTCTGGGGACTGCTCGGGGGTCCAGGGTCTTAGGGTTGGTTTAAACAAGACTCCCTTCTCTCTCTCTCTCTCTCTCTCAGCCCCCCAAAGTCAATCTTGAGAATCATGATGGATGCCTTTACATTTCACAGGCTATGAACTGAACCTTCACCCGTTTGATTAGCTTTATTATGGCTTGTGAATCGCTGGGATCTGGCTTTACCTTTTACCTGTTTTCTTTTATTTTGTATGTGAACAAAATCAACCGCTTAAAGATATAACTTTGGTTAGTTTAGCCACAAATGCCTTGACTTGATTGTTGTTGGTCTCCAGAAAAAAAAATGTTGTAGAAGCTGCCTTAAATGCTATGACATGCCAATCGTTTTGCTTTTGTTCCTTTCCAAAGTACAGTAGATCCATACGTTGATGCTCTGTGTATATGTTGATTTATGCATAATTGTTATATTTATTGGTTATTTATTATCAATTAAGGTGTTTATATCATTTTCGATGTGCGTTGCCTTTCTCTGCACCTCCTCCAACGCCTTTCTCCTACCATTTCACTGTGCTTTTTAAGGCTGAATCCTATGCACACTTACCTGGGAGTCAGTCCCACTGAACTCAAGAGGACTCACTTCTGAGTAGACAGGCATAGGATCGCACAAGTAGTCTTATTTTTTTTAAAGAGATCTGTTGGAAAAGGGTTTAACTTTTATACCTAAAATAAGCATTCAATTGCAACCCTTTTATTCTTGCTTCGAAGCTCTCGGACAACTCAGCTTACTTTTAGATGCAATCTCTTTTCTAAACACATTATTTTCTTAACTGTTAGCTATTTATAGAATGCTTCGATAGAACTGTTTTAACTGTATAACTATTTGCTATTCAAATAAAAATATTTTCAAATTCAAATACACATTCTTTCATGTTTTACCTTGCCATCAAGTTGCAGCGATTCAACCCATATTAATTTTGATTTAAATCTGGTTGGTTTAATCACAGCTTTAGCTGCTATTAAATTCCTAGTTTCCTAATTTTGCGTGTGTGTATGTGTGTGTGCGTGCATCGTGCGTGCGCGCGCGTTAATTTAATGGACAGGTCGGTACACTCTAATAATCTTAATTCCGGTAGACCCGAACAGCTTCGGTAATTCTTACTTCTTTAGAGGCATTTAGAGGTTCGTATCTTTTACCTAAAGGCCACAGAGGGCTTAATAAGGGATTCCAGGCTCATAAGGTCTTAGCCCGAGACATCGTCAGGGCTCAATACTAGCAAACAAAAAACAGGAGCTGAAAGCGCCGAGGGCCTTTTCCTCTCTCTCTCTCCTCTCTCTCGTCGCCGCAGCAGAGGGCCGGTCTCTTCCCCGAGAGGTCTCCGGGCCGCTTCCAGACAAGGGAGAGCTCCTAGCAATTTAAGCTCAGCTCACGGCACACTTTGTGCAAGCGGCTTAGAGAGCGATCTTTGGGTGTGGGGATCGCCGTTTTAACTCCTGCTCAGCATCTCTACGTCTCGGCTACCTTTCTTTCAACTTTATTATTATTTTAATGTTACAAGTTTCTGTTCGCCTAGGCAGCGGCTTCTTCCTTTTGCTTTCTCCTTCCTGAGAGAGAGAGAGAGGACCGTGCCACGAATTTACCAAGAGTCCAACAGAGGGAACAAGTCTTTCCGGAGCTTTGTTAGGCCTGCACGGAGTTTAGGGCCCACTTTTTTTGCAGGGGCCTTTCCGAGGGTGGTTATGATCTCAAGTACTGTATAGAGTATGCCCATTGATTCAGTTCCATTGACCTTACTGTTGGCTTACCACTGAGCCCGCTCTGTCCTCTGAAACGCTTAAAACACATCTGGCGGGCTCCTGGGGAGTGAATAGGACCGCGCCCGTTCCCCCCCCCCCACAAGTGTTGTGGGAAAGAACCTGCCTAGGCCAAGGGACGAAAACATCCCCAAGCTAGGTGAGTATGGAATCTACCATGTTTACTCGAAAGTAAAACGTATTAAGGACGGGGAGGGGGGCTTGAATACACTTACAGCCCAACACTAACTCTTGTTTATTCGTAAACTGTCCTGTCCTAGGGCTTATCAGTGCAGAGGAGAAACGGGAGCCCGGCTGCGGGCCTTCTCCCGTGGAAGCGACGCCCATTCCCAATCCACTCTGGCCTTTTCCAGGGGCCTTTCTGAGGGAGGCCGCCGTCCTCTCCAGGCCGTTCAGGGCAAAGGCCTTGGGGTGGCTGCTCGGATGATAAGGAGTCTGGTAGGAAGTCTTGCTTGGTAGCAGCTTTCCTGGGCTGCCCCCGTCGAGGAATGGTAGGGAGGCCGGAGGGCGGAGGGGGCGGCTACTCAGCCGGAGGCGCAGTCCTCAAAGCGTCCCCCACCCACCCCCCGCCGCCGCCGCTGCTCTTGGCGGTGGTTCCCTCCATTTTTGTCGCTTCCCCGGGGCGAGGGAGAAGTTTCCTTCCAAACGTCAGTGGAGGTTATCAAAAGAGGCTTAAAACTCACACGCAGGAAAGACGGGCCGCCAAGCAGCCCTCTCGGCGCCCGGACGTCGAGCACTACCTTCCTCGCCGGGCATTACAAGGGCTGCTGCCCCTTGGGCGGCTAGGTGTGCCTCACTCAGTAGGAAGCGAGCCACGAGGAGGAGGAAGAGGAGGAGGAGGAGGGGGGATTTGCTTACATTTTGGAGCCACGGTGCTGGGAAATGAAAGGCTTCGAAGCAGATAAAAGCACCACCTTGGAGTTTCCCCGGAGGAACCCCCTCCCCCCACACACACACACTCTGAAAGGACAACCCCTCACGCCTTCAGGAGGGAGAACTTCTGTCTGTCTCATTCTGTGAGGAGCCCCTTCCCTTTCTTCAGGCGAGGCTTCCTCCTTCTCACAATGCACCCGAAGGGAGGTATAGTGAGGACCACACACAAACACCCCTTCCACCATTTTTTTAAAGTTTAAAATGATTCTCCTTTCCCCATTAAAATTGATCCTCAAAACTGCTGGGTTTTTTTTAAATTATTAAAAGTTTCAATTTTTTTTCAGTGAGAAAATACACCCAACATCATGTCCATCTTTGAACCAAGGCCACCCATTTTTCACCAGCATTTCACTCCCTTGCCCTGCTTGGTAGCCCATACCTATTATCTTCTGCTTCAGCTATTCTACACTTTGTAGGTCTTCCCTGTATAAGACCATACAGGCAGGGCAAAACACCAAATGAAAAAAGACAGGGAAGCCTGTGAGAAGAAAACACAGCATGTAGCTGGAGGGAGGGCTGTTAAACAACAACAACAACAACAAAATCTGTTGGCCACTCCCCTAGAGCTTCTGGGTGACTGGCCTAAGATGAATAACAGACCGTGGAGGTGGTGAGACTGAAGCCTACTTCCATAGTCTCTCCCAAGGTTGCCATTTGTTCCACAGGGAAAGACACAGGTAATTAATTCCATGTGATGGCCTCATCATGTTTCCATTCCTTCAAAAGGTGGGCTGGAATAAGCTCAGATAAGTGAAGGAGGCTAGTCCTGACAGGAGAGGCCAGCTACGGAGACCAGTGCTGCTGTCGATGGGATGGCTGCCCTCCCTCTAGTCAAAGTTTAGGTGATGTTGTTTCATTCCTAGCCACAGGTAAGGGAAAAGAACCAGTGATTTTGGTAGTAGCAACTCAAAAGAGAACACAATCACAATGAGGCCTTACAGGAGTTCCATTTTAGTGAGGATGATTCGTAGCAAGAGTTTAAGATTTTCTGTCAGATATATTTCAACTGAGCATATATTTTGATTAATTTTTAAATATTGCTTATAACTAGAAGTATGTGTGGTCTAACCCTGGTGTAAAATGAGGAGGGAAGGGAATGGCATCGTTTTTTCAGGGGTAGCTCCTTCTCCTAAACCTTAGGAACAAATACAATAGGAACAATTAGCTTATCTGAAATGAGTGGAAGCTGCGTCTGGAGCTGAATATTCTTCAGTCGTCCTTTGCCATTTAAACCTGAGTATTATTATTTTGCCAGCCTGGACAGCTTCCTGCTCAGCACATCTTACAGCCTACTTGCAATCAAACACTGGGATCAGGTACAAGAAAAAAAGCTTAACTTTACAACAATTTTCCCTAGGGTTATTTCCTAGCTTGCCAATAATGCACCTGTTGACCTTTTCTGATATGCCCTTTTCTTCAGTATCACAGAGACAATTTTCATGTCACCTCCAACACAGTGTTTTCCTATGGAGTCAGATCACAAATTAAGCTGTGAACTGTCAATGCTAAGACATGTCATGCTAAGACAAACTTAGAAGGGGAAAAGGGAAAAAGTGAAAAGGTAAAATATTGCATCGCTTTGAAAACTAACCAATGTATTTCAGTATGAGCTCTCATAGAGCACAATCCACTTAGGATACAAAAGCTCACACAGAAAGTTATTTATTTATTTATTTATTTGGAATAGGTCTCTGGGTGGCTTACAGCAATTTAACTACAGTAAAAAAAAATTAAAAAAATAAAATACAATTAAAATCTATACTCTAAAAGTTGCCATCAGGACCCACAGTTGATATTATTTCAATTAAAAGCCTTCTGGAACAGGAATGTTTTGACCTGGTGCCAAAATGTCATCAGCATCAGCGCCAGACGGATCTCAATTGGGATGGAGTTCCATAGTCTGGGGGCAGCTGCCGAAAAGGCCCTTTGTCTACAAGCCGTCCCTCTTACCTCCTTGAGGGACAGCTCTTTCAAAAGGGCCTCCTGGCTAGATCTTAACTGCCGGGTAGGCTCATATGGAAGGAGGCGGTCCTTCAGGTATCCAGGGCCCAAGCCGTTTAGGGCTTTATATGTCAAAACAAGCACTTTGAATTGGACCCAGGCAGCAACTGGTAGCCAATGTAATTTAAATAGAATCGGCTTGATGTGTCCCCTAGCCAGAATATTCCACACCCCCCCCAAAAAAAATCTTTTCCTTTTCCACATTTAATGTTGCTCATGTGCTACGTCAGATGAAAATGTCTACATCTCTGATAGTCATAGAAGGGTGAACCTGTTCAAAGCCATTCTTTGTAACAGCTTTCAAAGCACTCATAAAAACAATAATGGGGAAATTATTATCCTTTCCCTCCCACACATAACTCTTGTCATTTCCTGCTTTTCCATACTTTTGGCTAAAACCTTGATTTACTATGGTAGATGCTAGTCTATACACCTGCTCACTGGTTTTCATTTCTGGCATATACTTCACAGTTAATTCAGAACACCACGATTAAATTAAACATTCAAGGCAATTTTCTAATCCTTCTGGTTTATGTATGAGTGGATTGAAAGATTTAGATTTTTTTAGACGCAGGTACTACTTGAAACCCAGTTCACAGCCCTGCTTAAACAGAAGTGGTAAAATTGATATGTTCAGATTAAATCTGTTTGTCAATGTTATTATTTAAGTTTTATTTTTTTCCCAAAACAACAGAATAATCAAACAACATTGTGCAATTCCAAATAAATCCCTTCATTTTTCTGCATCCAAATTCCAATTGTATCGAATTTAAGAGCAAGCGAGCAAAATGAAATCAGGTAGCAGTTTGGGACCTATGGCTTCATTTTATCACCAAGGGGAGTCACCATTACCTATTTAGTTATTTAGGTTTTTTGGGGTTCATTATTTATTTCCCTATTTTGTTTGGAGAGGGAGGGTTGTGTGGGTTTGCTTTTCAGTTTTTACCTGTTGTTTGTTGTTTGTTTGGTTTGAATGACCACCCAAAATAGTGGATTCACACAAAGTGCGGTGGTATAAAAATATATTGAATGAATAAATAAAATTATTCTGGATGAATTATGCTAGAAAAGACATCTGCTA